AAATAAATACACTTAAATTTACCTTCATCCCTGCCGTGCGCAAACGGCTTAGTGGTAGAATCCCCCGACTAACGCAAATTCAGTCGGGTTTCGATCCTAGCTAGATGTCTAGCCACACTGATGAGCTGTGAGACAGCGAAACAGTCTGTCTGTGGATGACAATATATATATATATATATATATAGTGTATTGGGGCAGCAGATCATTGTTCAAACATTATTAAATAAAACGGACAACGAAAATCTATTATGTTTGATTATGAGCCGTTCTAAGCTTCGTATAATAGCTTTAGTTTCGGGAGAATATAAAGACAAGAATTTGGATACCTTTTTATTATGCTGTTCCTCGATATAACCACTCTGGTGATGGCCGAAAGCTTAGATCGACGACCAGCATAATAAAAACAAATCCGAATTAATCCTTTTATTTTCCCTGGACCCTACTCAGAAGAAACTTGCAATATTTTAAAACCTATGATAGTGACTGAATTTTTTTCTATATTATAAGACACCAGTTGGGCACCTCGACGTAGTGTAATGGTTAGAAAGCTTTCTAGATCAATTACAACTGAGTAGTGAGTTCGATCCTCACTGGGTGTCCCATACTTTCGGCCTTGTGTCACATTTAAGCCGGGCTTAGAAAATCACTATATGACACCAGTCGATAATATTTAGATATCTTCACAGATAACATGAATTCTTGTTCAGTTCCAAGTTATATTAACGCAAACATATACTCCCTTTATAATTGTAAAATACAATAGAAAAACTGTAATGGCAGCCGACGATGTGGACTTTCTCAAGGCAAAAAACGAAATGTATTTACTAAACAAAGTAACTAATATTAACAAAAACAAAATGTCCTTAGCAACTGGTAGAATTTAGAGAACACTATTTTCATACTGATCTCTAAATTCTTCCATTTGCTAAGGACATTTTGTTTTGTTATTATTATAATAATCTAGGGAGTTGCAATCTGGGGAGTTGCGTGCTCAGATATAAGGGATGATATGGTCGCAGAAATTGTCTGACAGCCATGACTGGGTTCTCCGGGTTGTGTGGCATGGTGCAGAATCCTGTTATCAGATACTGGATCTTTCAGCAGACGCACCCTTGGCCCAGGGCAACACTATTTCCTCAAGGCATTTCATGTAGGCATTCGTCTTTAGTCTGATTCCCTGTGGGAAGATGAATAGAAGCATGCCTAAGCCATCACATGTGATCACTCAAAACACCATCGTAATCACCATTAGACTCATCCAACTCTTTCTGAATCCTCTGAACTGTCCTCAGATTGACACCCAAGCACTCTTCAATGTTTGTATTGGGGCTTCCGGTGCGAATGCCAAGCAGTACAGCATGCCGTTTCCGGAACGAATTGCGTCATGGTGCTCTTTATCTCACAGACGGTGCACAACTGACCTTACTATACTGTGCAGTGGACAAAATAAAAAACAAACATCGCACTTTGTATTGAATATTGATGTCACATAAGATGTGCTTCCTGAATTAAACCTTCCGTAGATGATGTTAGAACGGAAGAAAGCGAGAAACAAAGAAACTAAATGACAAAAGCGAAAAAGAGAAAAAATGAGGAAAAACGAAAAAGAAAGAAAGCGAAAAAGAAGAAAATTAACAATGAACGAAAGCGTAAAATGGAAAAAAAGAAGGAAAACGAGAAAAAATGTAAAAGAATTAACGCGAAAGCAAAGAAAGAGAAAAGCGAAATAAGAAAGAGAAAAAGCGGAAAAAAGAAAGTGAAAAGTTGAAAAAGAAAAAAGAAAGCGGGGAGAAAAACGAAAAAGTACTCGAAAAAAAAGAAGACAAAAAGAACGAAAGAGAAAAATAAAGAAAGCCTAAAAGAAAGAAGCCGAAAAGTAAGATAATCAGATTGATAGTGTAGTAAAAACAGAACCAGAAAGAAAGAAAGAAAGTAAGAAAGAAAGAAAGAAGGGAAGAAAGAAAGAAAGAAAGAAGGGAAGAAAGAAAGAAGAGAAGAAAGGAAGAAGGAAAGGAATAAAGAAATAAAAGAAAGAAAGAATGAATGAAAGAAGGACAAAAGCAAAAGAAAGAAAGAAAGAAAGAAAGAAAGAAAGAAGGGAAGAAAGAAAGAAAGAAGGGAAGAAAGAAAGAAGGGAAGAAAGGAAGAAGGAAAGGAATAAAGAAATAAAAGAAAGAAAGAATGAATGAAAGAAGGACAAAAGCAAAAGAAAGAAAGAAAGAAGGAAAGAAAGAAGGAAAGAAAGAAAGAAAGCTTTATTGCACTTTACTCTGACTACTCGGCTACTGGCGGATTTTAAAAGTTTCTTTTTTTACGGTCTAGATCTTAAGGGGGGGTAACTGATGATTTATCAGTATAGATAAAAAGAGAAAAAGTTAAAAAGAAAGAAAGAAGTATTATTCTGCAAGCAAATTAAGAGAAAGCAAATAATAGACGAGACGTATGTCAAATCGAAGGAGGGAGAGATCGGACTGGTATTACTGGAGAGAGACGTCGTGAGACCAATCAGCTATGAGATAAGAAAAAACAGAATGAGATCGGAGAAATGTTACTGAGTTCGAAGATCGGATTGGAGAAATTCCATATAATTGGTGAAAGCAAGATTCTAGGAGGAAATCGTGCTGTGAAAATAGAATAAAAGAATTACGTCTCCCTATATATATATATATATATATATATATATATATATATATATATATATATATATATATATATATATATATATATATCCCATCATATTCTTACGATCACCAAACGTACTATCCCGGTTACCACAGAAAAAGAAATACTACACAAGGACTGTTCAGATTGAAATTAAAACAGTAAAATCAATAGACAGGTAACAAAAAGAGACAGATAGATGAAACGTCTTAAGAAAGAAAGAAAGAAAGAAAGAAAGAAAGAAAGAAAGAAAGAAAGAAAGAAAAAAAGAAAGAAGGATAGAAAGAAAGAAAGAAAAAAGGAGAGGAATAAAGAAATAAAGAAAGAAGGAGAGAGAAAAAGAAAGAAAGAAAGAAAAAAAAAAAAAAAAGGAAAGAAAGAAAAAGGAAAGAAAGAAAAAAGGATAGGGATTAAGAAATAAAAGAAAGAAACAAAAAAACAAAGAAACAAAGAAAGAAAAAATGAACAAAAGAAAAGAGGATAGGAATAAAGAAATAAAAGAAAGAAAGAAAGAAAGAACGAAAGAAAGAAAGAAAGAAAGAAAGAAAGAAAGAATGAATGAAGGGATAGGAATAAAGAAAGAAAGAAAGAAAGAAAGAAAGAAAGAAGGATGGAATGAAAGAAAGAAAAAAGGAAAGGAATAAAGAAAGAAAGAAAGAAAGAAAGAAAGAAAGAAAGAAAAGAAAAAAGAAAGAAGGATAGAAAGAAAGAAAGAAAGAAAGAAAAGAAAAAAAAAAGAAGGATAGAAAGAAAGAAAGAAAGAAGGAATAAAGAAAGAAAGAAAGAAAGAAAGAAAGAAAAAGTAAGAACAATATGAGGTAAGTCAAATAAATAAAATAAAAATCAAGGAAAGAAAGAAAGGGATCGACAGAAAGAACAGAGTTTGAATAAATTAATGTATAAAAAAGAAACAAAGAATGGACAGGGGAATGACTGAAAAAAAAAGAAGAAAAAAAAAAGAATTAAAGTAAAACAAAGGAGGAATGAAAAAACAAAAGAAAGAAAGAAGTGGAAGTAAAAAAAGGGTACAAAGAAAGAAGGAAAGCCTAAAGAAAGAGAAGAACGAAGAGAAAAGAAAGAAAAACAAGTCTGTATAAATTAAATGAAAAGAAAGAAAGGGGAAATTAGGGTAAAACAGAAGGAAAGAAGGAGGCGGGGCGGAGGAAAAACAGTATGAATTACTATGAAAAAGAAAGAAAGAAAGAATAAATTAAAATGAAAAAGAAGAAATGATTCCTTCGTTCATTTGTTGTTTTTGTATTGAACTAAGGAAGGAAGAAAGGGAGAAAAAAGAAAAGAAAAGAAAGAAAGAAAGAACTCATAGTTTAAAATCGAGAGAGGAAGTGAGATGAGATGAAAGATGATGAAATGAGTAGGCAGAACCTCACTGGTATGTAAATGAAAAATAAAAAAGACGCGGCGTCAAGGCCTCTAAGAAAAAAAGAGTTGTGGAGACGGGTAATGATAGATATGAGGGTATTGGAAGGAGTTATTAAAAGGGGCCAAGGATTGGGTGAAAATTACACGTAATACCCCGAAGGGCAAGTATCTGTTTCAATTGATTTGGTTCCTTATAAGAGAACGAGGGTTGCTCTCGTGAACTCGACGAGGCATGTTGACGATGTAGGCACCGAGGCGTTCAATATACGCCCCAGGTACCATTGTTGTTTCCTAAGGTTTCATGTTCAGTGCCACTGTGACACTACCCAAAGAAAGAAAGAAAGAAAGAAAGAAAGAAAGAAAGAAAGAAAGAAAGAAAGAAAATTACGCTATTAAGGAAATGAGGAAATAAAGAAAGGAAGGAAGAAAGAGGATTTATTAAAAACAAAGTAAGAAATAATAAGAGAAAGAAAGAAAAAAGAAAGAAAGAAAGATAAAAGAAAATGAGAAAGAAAAAAGAAAGAAAAAGAAAAAGAAAGAAAGATATAAAGAAAGAAAGCGAAAAAGAAAGAATGATATAAAGAAAGAAAGCGAAAAAGAAAGAATGATAGAAAAAAGAAAGAGAAAAGTTAAGAAAGAGAAAAAGAAAGAAAATAAGAAAGAAAGAAAGAAAGAAGAAAAGAAAGAAATATAAAAACGAAGAAATAGAAAAGAAAGAAATATAAAAAGGAAGAAAGAAAATAAGAAAGAAATATAAAAAGAAAGAAAGAGAAAAAAAGAAAGAGAAAAAAGAAAGGGAAAAAGAAAATGAGAAAAAATACAGAAATATAAAAAGAAAGATAAAATGAAAGAGAGATGAAAAAAAGAAAAAAGAAAAATATAAAGAGAGAAAGAAAAAAGAAAGGTATAAAGAATGAAAGATAAAAGAAAAGAAAAGATAGAAAAATGAAAGAGAAAAGTTAATGAAGATAGAAAGAAAGATAAAAAAGAAAGATAGATAAAAAGAAAAAAAGAGGAAGAGAAAGAAAAAAGAAAGCGAAAACGAAAGAAAAGATCGAAAAATGAAAGAGAAAAGTCACGATAGAAAAAAGAAAGAAAGAGGAAAAGAAAGAAAGAGAATGAAAAAAGATATATAAAAAAGAAAAAGAAAAAGAAATAAAAACGAAAGAAAGAAAAAAGAAAGTAAACAAAAAAGAAAGAAAGAAAGAAAAATATATATAAAAAAGAAAAAGAAAGATAAAAAGAAAGAAAAACGAAAGAAAGAAAGAAAAACGAAAGAAAGAATTTAATAAAGAAAGAAAGAAAAAGTAAATATTATACGGAAGGTAAGAAAAATAAGTAACAAAATCAGACAACTGTCTAAATAAAGATAGTACTCTTTTTTTCTTTTTCGATTGTTATTAACTAACAAATTCATCCCCTCCAGTATGACATGATATTAATATAATAATTGGATAAAAACATATTGAAAAGCTCACATGTGTAGAGCTTCCAATAATAGTCAGGACTAAAGAAAATACGCCATCATTTTGACAAAATGGTCCTACAAGCATTAAGTCTACTGGGCACAAAGTGTGTGGGGGGAGGCTGTTTTCTATTGTTATTAAGTCTAAAAAATCACCCCATACAGAATTAACGCCTATTAATATAATTGAATAAAACCATATTTAAAGACTCACATAATAATGTCTTCTAATGATAAGGAAACCTCAAATATCAATTGCGTCAGCATTTTTGGACGGCATGATAAAAGAAATTTTATGCTTATCAACGTTTCCATTTTTTTTTAATAATTTGGATAAGATTAATGTCTACTCACTTTTACAGAATTAGTTTTCATCCGTATGAAGACGGTTTGCTGCCTGTACAGGTTCTGGATTATTCTAATATCCTTCACAAATATGTTGAGACTAGATTAAAGAAGGAAAAATAATGTACATATGTTCGACTTAAACTTGAGTCAAATCGTAGACATACATTCTTGCGTAGATTAATTAAAACAATCGCTTTAGTTTACTTTCTTTCAATAGTTTTAGACCCACTGGAGTGATAGGGTTTAATCGATTTCTGTTTTCTAGGGAGTTTTGAAGTACTAAAATTATATGTTATTTTGCTTTCACAACTGAATACATGGTAAATAATACTCAGCTTTTGTTCATATACATGTTTGTGCGAACATGATTACTAGGAGGCGGTCATATGTTTCCTTTATATTGAAGTGTTGTTGAAGTTATATTTTGGAATGTACTTTGATTTCTTTAAGAAATTGTAGAAAATTATATGAATTATTGTCATCAAAGAGTTCTTTCATGTTACTCCCTTGTGCAAATTAAAAAATTGAAACAACCGCTTTAGTTTCTATTCTCACCGTACAGCGAGAGGATGTAACTGATTTCTATTTTTTCCCCAGATTAGATCATTTGCACTGAATCTATTTTCGGGGTTGAAATTTGTTTGGCCTTGAAAAATATTACGACATTCATGATAGCATCAGATTTTTATCACGCCCAGAAACTATTGTCTCGACTGTCGATTATTTGTCCTACGGCCATTGTCTGCGATGGACGTTACTCAAAGGAAGCGTAAGAAAGTGGTAACGCTGCAAGAACACACTGGTAAGCCTTATCAGCAAGCAAATCAAAGTACTGGCCCGGAAACTCTCTTCATTTAAGTCCTATCGAGAATCTGTGGTCAATCTGCAAGGGACAACGAGCAATGGACATATGAAGTACTAACATGGACACTGGTCATGTTTCATTGAAAAAATATGAAAAATAAATAATAACGGAATTATTCGTTTTGTTTCAATTAATTTTCACAAGGGTGTAGGTGATCATAGCCCTCCACATCTTCCTTCATAATTAATTTTCACAAGGGTGTAGGTCCGATTAACACTAGAATACAAAAGGTAAACCTATATCCAGTTTACAGAAAGATAAAGGTCTGCTTTGCACTATGACAGAAAGATAACATACCCTTAAAACATAGCTAATAAAGTTTAATTACCACCGAGCAGGCCCTAAATTTGTTCTAATTCTGAAGAGAGGTCATGCCCACAATGAGGCTCCTAGTCCAGAAAATTAGTTGGATGTGAAGCTCATCCCAGACTTTAAATGGAACTCACATATTTGCGACATCGCCAAAGAAGAATGGTCAGTTCCTTGTATTTCCTAAGAAAATATCTAATTCTTGCTACCATGCTCTGTATTTCCGAAGAGTAAAATCAGATATACCGGGTGTAACAGCAAAATTGTCCAAATCGTATAACAATATAAGTTATCCATCCCACAAGTGTTTAATATGTATAAACACACACACACACACACACACACACACACACACACACACACACACACACACACAAACACACAAAACTAATTAAGTTTATTTTTCCAGGTTTTCAGTTAAGACGTTTAAACTTTTGATACCATATGTCGCATGAATCACTTGGACCAGCTCGTTATGAGGCGCCAGTTGTCCGACTTCGTCAATTCTTGGAGGTGGACTGAGTTGTCAGAGGTTATTTGAGACGTACCCCACGGAAGTATTTTATAGAGAGCGGGAAATTGCCCCCACTGTCACCCACGGCTATTGCAACCTTTGGAACCTATATAATGTTTATGAGTTGGGTGAAACAGGCTCCTGCGTGGATGCTTTCTTGAACACTACAATCTTAATCGCTTCAAATCAAGGATCAGTGGTTATCTTCCTTACCCTCATAATCTTCACTTTCTACACCCTCCTCCTTAATTCGTATCACACATCTAATTCATCATAGCAAATTTAACAGCGATAATCTGTTATGTTCTTCGGAAAATAATGTCCAATTTTAGAATTGTGTTCTGACATACTATTATTATAGTAATTGCTAAAATATATTATTTCTACCTCCCACCACATATATATATATATATATATATATATATATATATATATACACACATACACAAACATACAAGAATATACGCATAGACATATTACACATCTAATTCATCATTGCAATTTTAACAGTGACTATCTGTTATATTGTTCGGAAAATAATATATATATATATATATATATATATATATATATGATTAAAGTTTTCTCCTTACTAAGTCTGTATCAATCATTTTCAGAATTTAACTTAAAACACTATACATTCCTATATGGGAGGCACTGTGGAGTAATTGATAGCGGCTTGGATTGAGGAATCGGAAAGCCGAGTTCAAAATTCAGTCGAATTCATTACATTCAGTTAAGTGCTAATAACATTGGGAAAGGTATGAATCCTCTTCTCCCCCAGTTATGGGTAAAGAGAAGGACAGGGTTCTATAGCCTTGGATGGTAATTGATCTACCGCAGAAATAAATGGCAAACTACAGCGGAAAAAAAAACTACATCGTCAATCATGTATCTTTCGATACAGGATCGCCTAAACGTGTATCAGGCATGGCATATAACTGACTGACTTTCCAGTCGAATACATTACATTCACTTACGTGTTAATAGCCTTGGGAAAGGTATGAACCATCTCCTCTCCCCCAGCTATGTGTAAATAGCAGGACAGACCGGGTTCTATAGCCTTGGTTGGCAACTGGTCTACCGCAGAAAGAAATGGCAACCTACTACGAGAAAAAAATCTACCTTGTCAGTCATGTATCGAAAGACACATGATCGCCTAAGCGTGTATTCTGCATGGCTAATAACTGGCTGATATACCCCTGACCTAGAAGAGGAAAACAAAGAGCTGCGTTTACTTTTTTTGCATAAGTACAATGCCTCTGAAATTGCAGCCAAAGTTGATAGATTCAAGGCTTGAAGGATCCACTTGGGATGTTAGAAGTCTACCGTTGCGATTAATATTAACATCTGAAAACACGAGTCGAACAAAACCCCTCATCAAAGTGTCAGAGAAATGTCTCAGATAATGGGTGTCAGCATTTCAAGAATATCGGACCATCTCAAGAGAATTGGCAAGGTGAGGAAACTCGATAAACGCGTTCTACATGAAAACAGTAAATGTCAAAGAGTTCGAAATTCAAAATGATTCATTTCTTGATCGAACAGTGACTGAAAAATGGAACCTTTATGGCAATCGTAAACGATCGGCTCAAAACATTATATACCCCTTATTTAGAACATGAAAATAAAGAGATGCGTTTACCATTTTGCATCTGTTCAAGCTTGGTTCTAATACCCCTGAAATTACAGCCAAAGGAGACAGATCATCGGTTGAAGGATCCACTTGTGATCGAACTGTAAGGTGCATGGCAGCAAGAAGTCCATTGCAATTAATGATCAACATTGAAAACACTAGTCGAACAAAACCCTACATCAAAATGCCAGAGAAACGTCTTAGATAATGGATGCAAGCATTACAAGAATATCGGACTATCTCAAGAAAATTGGTATGGTCAGGAAACTAGATAGATGAATTCCAATTGAAGTGTGTTTCGTCCTACATCCGCGAAATTCAAATGACACCCTACTTGATCGAATCGTGATAAGAAATGGGACATTTATGATAATCTTAAATGATTGGGAGGATTACGGCCAGATCACGTTGAAACACAGTTTGTTATACCAGAACATTACCTATTCTGTTGTAATAGACTCTCCCACACATAGTAGTACTAGTAGTAGCGATCGCCAGTTGAGCTCAGTGGAGTTGAGTGAGTCAGTCGATGTCGGACATTAAAGTATCAACCACCACAACTAGATTGCTGCGTCATTAACTATTATTTTCAAGTTCCTAACGTTTTGTACGTCGGACCCTTTTAGGACCGACTTAGCGAAATACAAGCCTCCACTGTGAAAACTACTCTAAAACACCGTTCGATCACCGAAGTTAAGTAACGTCAAATCCAGTCAGTACCTAAATGGGTGACCGATTGAGATTGCCAGCTGCTGTAAACCTAATGGAAAATGGCTCGTAATACTTAACCGGAGGGCCGAGTTCCAATTCTCGTTGTATTCGTTATATTCACTCAAGCAAAAATACCCTCAACTCCCCCAGCTAAGGGTTAATTAGTAAAACTTTTTCTTTACAATAAGGTTCGGGGTTTCACTTGTGGCAGAGGGCTACGTTAAGGGGTAATTTATATTGATAGGTGGCCAGGATAACTGTTGACTCTGGACATAGCGGCCTGTTCCACAGGTCGATGGTTCAGGAAGATCTTTGAGTGTAACTTACTTCTCGCCGACTTGTATCACTAAACCATTATTATCGCCAAGAAAAAAAAATTTCTTACAATCTAAGAATATTTTCTGGCTTTAAATAACCTACAAAGGGTTGATAGGCCGTAAAAAACGAACCCATCAATCACGTAAACAATCGACTCAATGGCTTGGTCATGATGAAGTACGAACCAAAGATTGTTCTGAGTGTCTGGTGGTCTGCTATTAGGATTATCCATTAGAGATTTCTGGAATCTAATCAGAACATCACATTCGGAATTTATGACCGGCAACTTAATGAAATATATATCCAGTTAACCAAATGCGACCGGCACTGTTTAATAGTCGAGGTCCAATACAGCTTCATGACAATTCCTGGTTGTATGTTTAAAGGATGACACTGAAAAACTAACACCCTACTGACTACCATTTATGCGGGCATGGCATACTTCTACAGAAAGGATGTAATTTTTGAAGATCAAGCCAAGCTAGTAGGGGACGTCCATCTGCAATTGACAATCAACATGTGAATGCGCTGGTCGAATGAAACCCAGTTTGGTATTTGGGGCTGGCTATGCAACGACCTTGTCTTTTCTGTTTATTTTAAGGTCAAAACAATGGTAGGCCATAACAGCAAAGTTGCTCACAGATTTGGGGTTCTTTTTTTAAATGGCAGAAAGTAGCATTGACATCAACATGTTGATGTTCTGAGTGTTAGACGTTGAGATCGGAGCCAGGTTGACAAGTCCTCCATCATAATACAGGGTGTCCATAAAGTTCGTGTGCACTTTAAAAAAATTATAACTTTATTTGTATTTACGACAGAAATAATTAGTAAAAAGGATTAGAAAGAAGTAAATCTACATTTTTAAAGATTTTATTGAAATTTTATTTAAGTTTCCACATGTCCTCCATTATTAGCAATACAAAGGGGTAATACGATTTTGCAGTTCACAGAAAAAAACAATTTGCCAACTGATTTAGTTCTTTTTTTTAAATAATGCCTGAAATCACATTAGTTATTTTAGCTATACTTAAAACTAGTCCTACATTAAACTTTATAACATTTTTATAACTTTATTTCTATTTGCAAAATAAAAATAAAGTTATAATTTTTTAAAGTTTATTGAAATTTTATGGACATCATTTATATTAGATACATACACACACACACACACAACATAATATATATATATATATATATATATATATATATATATATATATATATATTTACACATATTTAAGGTGTTTATATATATATATATGTGTGTGTGTTACTGTGATAGATAGAAAGTAGATAGATAGATAGATAGATAGATAGATAGATAGATAGATATCAAATTCGAAAGTGAAAAAGGTAATCCAAGTAGGTCTATTTAATATAAAATAATAAAAAAGATATCCATAAAGAAGACTCAATGTATAACATACAACGTAATATCATATACATCAAGTCCTCCATCATAATATATTATTATACTTACACCACAAAAATATATTATTCATTCCTAATGATTCAATTGATATTATTCTTAATTTTACATCAATCTGTTTCAGAATTGAACCTATAACATTATATACCCCTCATCGTAAACAGGGAAAAAAAAGAGATGAATTTATTTTTTGCAGAGAGTTCAAACTTGGTCATAATGTTTCTCAGACTTCTGTCAGGGCGTGGGGGTGAAGGATTCACTTTTGATCGAAGAGTACGGTGTTGGTTTTTGAAATAGCACAGAGGGGATGTAATTTTTGAAGATCAAGCTGGTAAGGGACGTCCATCTGCAATTGACAATCAACATGTGAATGCGTTGGTCGGATGAAACCCGCGTCAACATGTTAGAGAAATATCTTAAATAATGGGTATTGGAATTTCAACAATATCTCAAGAAAATTGGCAAGGTGAAGAAATACGGTTTCGCATGAACTCAGTGCAAGTGAAAAAATTCGACGTTTTGAAGTGTTTTCGATGATGCATCTGCGAAATTGGAATGATCGATTTCTTGATCGAATAGTGTCTTGCGATGAGAAATGGATTCCTTATGACAAGCGTAAACGATCGACTCAGTGGCTTTATCATGACTTATCACTCAAACGCGCTCCAAAACCGAAATCGCACCAACAAATTATGATGACTGTCTGGTGGAACACCTTTGGTGTTATCCACGACAGCTCTCGGGAATCTGAACAAAGCATCTGCCAAAGTTTATTGCCAGCAACTGGATGGAATGCACATTCAGGTAAGCAAAATGTGGCCGGCACTGTTTAATGGATGACGTCCAATAATTCTTTATGACAATGCTTGGTTGCATGTTTACAGGATGACATTGCAGAAACTCTTCGACTTAGGATAAAGAGACTTTGCTATAGCCACCATATTCCCTTTAACTCACACCTTAATCGCTACCATTTATTCAGACATCTCAAACTCCTACCAAAATTAACAGAGAATGCGATGAAGAATTCACTTGTGATCAGACATTAAGGCTCTAGTTTCTGATGTTCATCAATAAGGTTACAAGATTTTGAAGATGAACGTGGTAGAGCTTGTCTATCTGCAATCGATATCTGAAAACATGAGTTGAAAAAAAACCATATCAAAGTGACAGAACAATGTCTCAGATAATGGGTATCAGTATTTCAACAATAGCGGACCATCTCAAGAAAATTGGTTAGGCGAAAAAACTCGATAAATGGGTTCCACATAAAAGTCAGAGATTGACATTTTTTTATTGTGTTCAATGCTGCATCTGCGAAATTCTAAAAAAATCCATTTCTTGATCGAATAATGACCTGTGATGAGAAATTGCTCTTTTATGGCAATTGTAAATGATCCGCTCAATGGCTTGATCCTGACAGAGTACCCAAACAATTTACAAAACCGAAATTGCATTTGTAGAAGATTATAGTGACTGCTTGGTGAACCGCCATTAGTGTCATCCATTACAGCTTTCTGGAATCTGACCAGGAGCATCACTGCCGAAATTTACAGACGGCAACTGGAGGAAATGCACTTTCTTAAGCAAAATGGCGCTGGCTAATCGACGATGTCAAATTCTGCTTCCTGACAATACTCGACTATATATTGCCAGGATAACACTTGAGAAGCTCACCGACTTGTGGTACGGAACTTTGTCATATCCACCATATTCCTCGGATCTGTAGCCTACTGTTTCAAGTATATTGATACTAGCAGCATGGCCCGGCGTTGCCCGTGCTTGATTCAAAAATCGTACGACTCATACAGCTATACTAAACATTAAATCCCTTACGAAAAAAGAACTAAACAAAATGAACACAAAACGATCAGCCTTAAAAAAGGACTCGTAACTGGAAAAACCGAATGAAAAAAGAATGTTAACAACAAATACTTTTTCACACCCAACCCAGTACTGCGGAATCCGAATCAACGTTGAGTTTAAGCAAGCGAATGAGCCAATTGGAGTAAAGTGATATGCAGATTTAAATTTTTCCCACTTGTGACGAATGCAGATATCGATTTTTTTTGCATGCTAGCATGCTAGTTAACATTTGTGTCAGTCAGCTGTTGGCTCTCACGCTGGCCAATAAAATCTTCCTGCCTATTCGTGGAAGCCAGCTAAAAGCTCTCACTCAGGCCAGTAGAAAATGGCCGCAAACTACATGAAAACTGCCGTAAAAGCATGGAAAAATCGATTATTTCCACTATCGATGGAAGTTGCGAAATGCAACGTCGATCTTGGCCTTCCCACTAACTTGGAGCATGTGCATGTAAATTTTGGTGCAAATCAGTCGAAAATTGCGGCCGTGCATTCGTTACATACACACACACACACACACACACACACATCCTGCCTTTTATAGATAGAGATTTGTAAGCCAAAAGATATTCCATACCAAAGAAGATGCAGAAAGTGCATTAAAAAAATTCACAGCGTCTAAATCTTTCGAGATTTCTCGTAAAGGCACAAATAACCTCGATAGCAGAAATGTTTACTTGTTCAGGGTCCCTATTTTGACTGATTTAAAGGAGTAAAAGTTGATTCTAAGATCGGACATTATGTTCAGAATAACCATCTATCTTGAATTACCCTATACTAGTAGAAATAATTGTCTTCTCCTATCTCGGAAAAAAGGACAAAGCCCCTGAACCATGACATACAGCGAAGTACCGAAAGTGTGAGCAATTTGATTATGCATTTCCTGAAATTCTCTCGCGTACCCGCAGGGTTAAGCTGATCCCGGTTCGATAATCTGCTGTTCAAAATTATCTAATTAAAATCGTAATCACTTGTTGGTTATGCCTTGACACACACCAGAAAAGGAAATTGTAACAATCTCCATTCTTCACTTTCGTTGTGATCTCTGATATGATCTAAAACTGATCTGATAGAATTGCATATTTTCTAATCGTATTTGCCCATCCTTCCACGGCGAAGTGATATAGCAAAAGGCTCTTTTAATGCAGTCGAAGATAGAAATTCTAGCAATGTATAACATTTGTTTACGAAAAAAAAAAAACGTTGTGTCAAAAGGATAGTTATTACCTTGACACCACAATTACTGTATACACTTTTGACTCCCTAGGCAATGTTTATTGTTAAAAACATCTGAAAACGGATTTATACAATCTAATAAATAAATAGTGTTTAATATCTTTGCTGTCATTCTCAAGGGTAAAGCAGATGTATAAATCGACTTTTGAGTTTTATTAAAATGCTAATCAACGCTTTTCAAATCAAAAGATATTGCCGAGGGAAAGAAAAGTGTACATTTTCTTTATTCTTGAGAATTGACAACAAAGATATTAAACACTATTGAGTAGATTGCTTATTTACAAGAATAATTTTGTTCTCACAACATTCTAAGTGTATGTAATTTTATTTACACACAAATCGGTATGTGGAAGAGAACCTTTCTTAAAGGTAATATATACCTATAATGGAAAGTAATATATACCTATATGAATGAAAAGAAAATAGGAAAACTATACTTAGTTTAGCCGACGGACTTTACCAAAGAAAAAAAACAAAATAAAATTGATAAAGTCCGTAAAGTAATGAAACGTGTCAGCTAAATTAAGTATTGTTCTCCTGTTGTCTTTTCATTCTTTTTTCTTTCTTCTGCAGATATACGCCATCTGAGAATATAGGATGTTTCATTAAGAGGGATTATATATAAGGGTGTTTCATTAAGACGGATCAAAGTCAGCAGTAAATAAATCAGTGATATTGGTGAAAGTTTATTTATTTCTCTATTGGATCATGTTATTTAAGTTATGGTAATTATGTGTGAAAAACAATATCGCCCAAATGTCCGCTAAATCTGAAAGAAAAAGAAAAAAAAATCGTTAGACGCTTAAACTCAATTCACATTTAAAATCGTTCCAATTTATTGAAGCACCCTTTACTTTTATGGTAATTGTTTGAATGAACTTTCCTCTATGCCTTAGTATTGTGATGTCTGTAGTAAAAATGGTAAGTCGGGATGTGTTGTTTTGGTGTAAGGAATACTGTGCTATGTATGGGTCAGTAATTGTGCCTAGCTAAATTTAAAATAAGATAGCTTTCCCCTATCGCCCATTTTGGCCTTGTGCCACATCTTTGTATAATAACACAAAATAAATATTACTTTCCTCTACGGTAGCTACATTTTATGAATTTATACGCAGCACTAGATTAGAGGCAAAGTTTCTTCATGTTACATTTGAAATGGCTGGAAGTAACCGAAACTTCTATGCTAGCAGCTTCTTTTCTCGCACTTCTTCCGTGTGGAACTTTTTTCGGCTAATTGCTTTACAAAGTGAGACGCATGCATATAAATGGTGTTTCATTAAGACGAATTATATATAAAGGTGTTTCATTAAGACGGATTAAAGTCAGCAGTAAATAAATCAGTGTTATTGGTGAAAATTTATTTATTTTTCTATTGGATCATGTTATTTAAGTCATGTCAATTATGTCTGAAAAAATAATATCACCCAAATGACCGCCAAATCTGAAAGAAAAAGAAAAAAAAATCATAAGACGCTTGAACTTAATTCACATTTAAAATCGATCCAAGTTATTGGAACACTCTTTATTTTTGCATACCTATATATGCCAAAATATTCTAATAATTTAAACAAGTAGGTATTTGCCAACTGCCTCACGCAGCAAGATGTGGCACAAGGTCGAGTTTTATCGTGGGGTATCCGATCCCGTAGGCTTGGGCAAAAATTCCCTGTAGACCTCATAAAATCGGAGTCAGTTTCCTGAGACGAGACTCTGCTCTTCGGTAAAGCCTCGTCTGGAGGATAGCCTCTGACCTGTGCCAAACAAGTATAAACTATCTTAACAGATAAATCTACACATAAGGCACATAGTTGTTCAATTATTCACTAGTTGTCATATCACC